ACTTTCTGGTCAAAATCGGCCCCTAGCAAACAATGGGTTTGATTTGTGATAGCCGTGTTTACTTAAAATGACCACTGCAAAAAAGATCACAAAAACAGGTCTGCACATGGTGATCCGCTTTGCGACTGTCATGACTTATGACCATTATTGCCAGGCACAATTATGGTCGTAAGTCAAGGACTATTTCTATTTCTCAACCTTGACAACTTGAAGGTATCCGAACACCTGGTATACTAGCTGGGGAGTTCTGGAAGTTGAAGTCTACATATTTTAAATTTGCTGGAATTGAGAGGCACTGATTTAGATTAAATTTTGAGATGCCCCTGCCATCTACATTCCTCAGGGAATTAACACTTCATGATCTAATTTTGCTAGATTGAACTGGAGGGGGGTTGTGGAGAAAATCGATCTTCACTTATGTTGTTGATCAGGGTTCCCCTTGGGGAACAAACAGTAGAAATCTAAGGTAATTTCATTATTACCTGCATTTCTGAACTTTAAGATGTAGCATGAATTCTGGGAGTTGAAGTCCATACCTCTTAAAGTTTATAGGGTTGAGGAATACTGATCTAAAGAGAATGGTTTTTATATGTGAATACATATACTTTTATATATATTGGGGGAGGGGTATAGGCAACCATGATGGCTTGATGTTACTAGAAAAAGGAGGCAAGGGTCAGCATTCTTGACTATTTTCTCCCCTCTCCCCTGTCCTGGGCATCAGGTGCCTATGGTGATGTTGCAAAAAAAAAGATGATGAAATATGCATTGCGACGTCACATTGCAAACTCAGGACTTTTTGTATCTCTGTGTCTCAGTCAAATGCTCAAGTCACGTGGTGAGGATTGCAAAGAACACTTTATTCTTTCCTTCTGCATTTGGGGGAAGCTTACAGGGCTGTTTCTGTATATCAGGGGTCTTCAAACTTGGCCCTTTTATGACTCATGGACTTCAACTCCCAGAATTCCTCAGCCAGGCATGCTGGCTGAGGAATTCTGGGAGTTGAAGTCCATAAGTCATAAAAGGGCCAAGTTTGAAGACCCGTGCTGTATATTAAGGCTGGTTGTAATGCTATTGCAAGCCTAATGCAGATTTTCCAGCCAAAACATTATGCTACTGTTATTTTGTATGTGGTGCTTGGGAGATTCCAAGGGTCACACTATCGAAATTGGAAACAATCTTTGGCTTGTGGGTTGTTTCATTCTTCCCATTAAGCCTTGCACCTGTTTATCAGTTTTTTCTTTGCTGAAAGCTTTCTATTTTTGTTTTCATTTTTAATTATAACTAATATGTCTTGACAAGCAGCTATCCCCAATCAGATACTGTCCAGAAGGACTGAATTATACCTTTCATTGGTGGCATCTGTACTGCTCTTGAGAATTAATGAGGTTTGTAGGCCTACCTGGTGTCAGGCTTCATTTTATCCTCACAACAGCCTTGTGGGGTAGGCCAGCCTGGGAGAAACTGTTTTAAACATCCATGGTGTAGGCAGGGAAGACCCAGGCAGACCACAGAGACTCTGCTTTAGTTGGTTTGCTACATTCCTTGTTTATTAGCTTGCATCCCACTTCTGTATTAAATAAGTAAATAAGGC